TTGTATTCAAAATCACGCATGAATGATGGCATTTTCTAACATGCAAGCCGCCAAAAAAATTCATAGATTTTCTACGTTTCGAACTTGCATTTCATAACTTTTAAGGCTTGCATCAAAAAGGATTCTTTTACATACGTTTTAAAACCAGCAAACATTCGCTTTACTCCATCATCACATGCAACTTCGCAGATCCTGCGCTGCTTGGGCAGTTTAGAAGAAACTAAAAAACAATTTTTAGACGGAATATCAGGCCATCGCTTTTATTGGAGATGATCTATTCGCAGTCAGAAAGGAGCACGATTCTTTACAGCCCGTACTTCTTCAGACTGACACCAACGACATTAACACCTTCAAGCGAAAGGTAAGTTCGGCTACTTATTGACAAGAATCATTCATTTGGTAAGAACTCTATTTTCGCTCAAAAAATTATTGACGAAACGGTTGACGCATAGTCTTTCCCTATGTAAAGCATCCTCAGTATTTTACATATCGTCAAACGCATTGAAATTACGAAGTTCTGGAATAGAACGTTGCACGCAGTTCCTAACATCTACAGATTTTTTCAAACACATATGATCGAATATCGGCTTACTTAGGCTTCGATTGGTGGAGAGATAACTCGAGTGGACGCCATGACCTCGGACTGGGTTGGAAATCGTTTATTATTAGTATTCGGTCAGGCCCTCTACCAACTCGTTTTGGATGATTTCACAGAGACCTCGTCATCGCTTGGGCCAAAGAAGTTGTTTAACCTCACTACCGGGGCGACGGACGCTAAACAGCTTACATTCGATCCGTTCAAAAAGTGAGATTAGCTTGTCTTATCGACTGGTGGATGTTCAACTCAGATGTACAGAAATGTTGCTATACACAAAGCTATACTTTGCTGATCAGAGTCTTTTGAATGTTATAGTAAGCAGATGTATTCTAGCACCGCTTATCTATTGACGAAAAACGGGTCACTCTTCTCACTGAACCTCTCGAGAGGTCACGAAAGAAACTTGGCCTCGGCAGTACGCTGTCTGACTAATCAAACAGTGACATGGATGACGACAGGTAGGACCCCTTTTGGAAAAAAAGTGCAGAGTTTATACTTGAATGAACGAATTATTCGTATTTATTTCAGAATTCGCTTGGAACAGACCCTCTTCTCCTAAAATATATGCGCTCACATGGAATGGATTGGTAGTGATTGATGTGGAAGAAAACAACAAGTGCAACGAAGTACGCATTGATTGGGAAAAATTTGGAGGTAATTGTTCGCTATATGACTTGTTATCACTTTGGCGAAGCGCGGAACCCATTCGCAGCTTTTTAGAAAGGGGGCTAAGAGCTATGTCTGCATTCGCAAAAGCAGACAATCTATTTGTTTTCGTAACATCCTCTGAGATGCTCATATATGGAAAGGAGGTCGCTATACCAATAGAGTTTCCGCCTCTGCGTCAGCTTCTCGCCGTAAGTCAAAGCAGCCAGCCTTATCCAGGTCATTTACACTTAACGAGCTGTTCTTTACCTATCAGCAAAATATCCCTTTTAGATCGATCTTGTTTCATATTGCCATCGTCAGCAGGAATACAATTCACTGTTGCAAATAACGGTAAAACAGGAGCTGTCGTGGAAATGTCGAAACCGCCCCCTCCAAACATCTGCCACGGGATATCATTACCGCAAACACGATATGATGTTAGTTCCTTCAGCTGAAATATATTTTAAACGTCATCACTTTGAGGATCAATGTTGTGCAAAGATATGGTCACTGCTCCATAATGTTAGCAATAGAACAAAAACAGAGAATTCAGAGAAACAAATTGTTTCATAGCCAGGCCAAAAACATTGTTTTTTGATATCACCGCTAGAGTTTGTGAAATCAGCGTTCGCAGCAAACGCACGGTGTCGTCTAAAATGACAAAATGCTCTATATTCGTTTATGTTGAATGCGCTTACTACTTGTTATAAGCAGGGTACTGCCAGTATCTTAACAGTTTACTGGCACTAAG